AAATTCATTTAGAAAGTTTTTAACTTGATAAATCATCACAAATGTAATGTGTAAGGTCATTTAACATTAATAATCTATTAACGAATTAATGGATTGTTGATGTTAAATGATGTCACACACTAAATTTGGGGTGATTTGTTCAAATTGAAAACTTTATAGGTGGATTTGTTTTCATTTTTTGTTTGAGGATGAATTCATCCTTACTACTATACTTTGAGGGTAGATTTGGGTATTTTGCCATTAAACAAAGGGTAGATCTCCATTAGAGTACTAATTCCCTTCATTTGGTGAAACAAATAGTTTAGATTTACTGAGGTTTAATTCAAGCCCCAAGCATCCAGCAAATCCCGAAAGGCATTCCATGATAATCTCAATTTGGGAAAATGAAGCAGTACCAAATAGCATAAGGTCGTCAGCGAAGAACAAATGAGAGAAAGGTAGCCCCCCACGTGAGATCTTGAATGGTTTCCACTGGTGTTGCTGTCGTCTGCTCAAAATCATGTATGAGAGTTTTTCCATGACCATAATGAAAAGGTAGGGTGATAAAGGATCACCTTGACGCAACCCTTGTTGTGGTTGGAAAGAAGGAAGCTGTTCTCCGTTCCAGATGATTGAAAGTTGCAAGGAGGTAACCGAGAACATGATTAACTGGATTAATGGCTCCGGGAGGTTAAAGTCGATAAGCACTTCTTTGAGGAAACCCCAATCCACTCTATCGAAAGCCTTATGGAGATCAATTTTAAGAGCAAGGGCCCCTTTCTTTCCTTTCAACCTCCTCATGGACTGCACTGCCTCCTGAACTAAGATGATGTTATCTGATGTACTTCTACCAGAGAGAAAGCTACTTTGCCAAGGTCCAATAAGATTCTGTAGATGGGGACGTAGCCTATTGACAATCACCTTAGCAAGGATTTTATAGGAAACATTAAGCAAACAAATGGGTCTAAATTTCTGAATCACTTCTGGGTTGGCCTCTTTGGGAATAAGGGTGATATGTGCATGAAGTAGTTCTGGCTCAAAGGAACCATCAACAAGAGATTTATTCACAAAAGAGTGCAATGTACCTGAGACAACTTCCCAGTGTTTTTGATAAAAAAATTGGCTGTATTCCATCTGGGCCAGGGCTTTTTAGACCTTTCATTGAAAAAAGAGCTGCTTTTACCTCTTCTATGGAAACCGGGAGCAGTAGGGAGCTACTAGCTGCATCTGACAATTTAGGCTGGAAACAAGAATAATCCCCGAACATGGCTCTTGTCTCTTTTTGGGAAAACAAGCCAGCAAAAAAGTCACGAACATGGGTCTTTAAGGCAATATTGTCTGTTACCCATGAGTCATTTACCTTCAAAGCCGTGATTCTATTCCTTGCTCTCCGAATAACAGTGGAGGTATGGTAGAATTTAGTATTGCGGTCGCTTGAAGTGATCCATTCTATCCGAGATTTCTGGCACCAGAATAGTTCTTCAGCGTGTAGTACGCTGTGGTATTCCCTTAACAAATCAACTTCCAAACTCTGCAGGAAGTGTGAATGATGGTAATGGGGGGAGTTCTGTATGCCTGCAAGTCGTGCTTGTAAAAGCCTTTTACGACAGAAGATGTTTCCAAAGACTGTTTTGTTCCAATTGAAGCATGCTGTTTGAACGGCATTAATAGCTGAAGGAAGAGATTGATCATGTGCTGCCCATGCATTGTTGAATATATCCCTGAAATCCACATGAGTAAGCCAAGCTGCTTCAAATCTATGTGGTTTGGCCGTTTGTTGAGTCGGAGCTGCAGGGTCTATGTGCAACATGATAGGGTGGTGATCACTACATAACCTTGGTAAATTAATGAGCTTTGTATTTGGAAATTCTGCAAAACCTGAGAGGTTTAGCAAAGCTCGATCAAGCTTTTCCCGTAGCACGACTCTCCCATTTGTTCGGCGAACCCAAGTGAACTTGCAGCCTAGTGAGTCTTTGGACAGTAGATTGTAGGCTTCCATATGGTCTCGAAAGCGCTGTGCACTAGAAAATCTATTTACAGCTCTTATAGCTCGACTTGTGGCATCCCTCTCACAAGTGATTTGGGGTCTTATCTAGGAGTTCCGATCCTCCACGGTAGGTCCAAACCCAGTACATACAAGTATATTCTGGAAAAAATGCAGTTGAAGCTTGCGGGATGGAAGCAAAACCTTTTGAGTATGGCCGGTAGAAGAACTTTGATTCAAGCTGTGACATCTTCGATACCCATCTACACCATGCAAACGGTCCTCCTACCAAGCAGTATTTGTTCAGAAATCGACACCTTAAACCGTAAGTTTCTCTGGGCTGTCGATATGCAATCAAACAAACCACATCTTGTTAATTGGAATGATGTGTGCTTGCCTAAGAAATATGGAGGCATGGGATTGAAGTCTGCAAGAGACTACAACAAAGCTTTGATTGCAAAGTTGGGTTGGCACATGCTTTCTGGAAGCAACAAACTATGGTGCCAGGCTTTCACCTATAAATATCTCCATTCAAATAGCTTCTTGAACTGCAACCCCACCCCATCTTCCTCTGTCACCTGGCGAAGTATTTTGAAATGCAGGGACATGCTCCGCTTAGGCATACAATGGCGAGTCGGCTCTGGTACGCAAATCCAACTATGGCATGATGTTTGGGCAGGAAATTCGAAGCTCCTTGACGTTGCATTATCTCCAATTCCTCATCATCTCCTTGACTTACCAGTGGCTGCTATCATCAACAATTCAAAATGGGATTTGGAGCAATTGACAGGACTCCTCCCAGACCACATACTTCAGACTATTGCAGCTATCCCTCTACCTATTGCAGGCCATCTAGAAGATTCTATCTACTGGTATAATTCATCCCAAGGTGACTTTTCAGTAAAATCTGTCATCCAACTCCTCCAGCAATCACGCTTACTTGACATCCCTGAAGTAGGAGAATGGGCATGGATATGGCAATTATGTTGCCCAGAACGAGTTAAGCTTTTTGTGTGGTTATTGAAAAAAGAAAGAATTCTTACGAACTCAGTCCGTTTTGCTAGACATATGGCTCCTACTCCAGTCTGCCCCCGTTGCGAGCAGTCACCTGAAACCCCATTGCACCTCCTACGAGATTGCTACTACTCACGGCTTGTTTGGGATGCTACTAACTCTCTACTTGGAGATTTCTTCCAGCTTGATTTTGCCCCTTGGTTGAGGAAAAATTCTTCAAAATCAAGAATGGGACCACGTGCTTCCGACTCATGGTCGAGTATTTTCCTTGCGACCATCTGGTATTTATGGAAAAGTAGGAACAAACTGATATTTGAGGAGCAAAGGGTCTCACCACTAGCTATCGTCCAGCAAGCTAGCAAATTAGCTTGGGAAATCCAACTGGCGTTTGCGGCAAAGGCGACCCTCATCTCAAAAGCCCCTAGATGGGTCAGTTGGAGCCCCCCTCCCCAGCACTTCTTTAAACTTAATACCGATGGATCACATGACCATAGCTCGGGCAAAGCCACTGCGGGAGGGCTTCTTCGCGATCACCTTGGGCACTGGTATCATGGTTTTGCCACAAATGTGGGTATCACTACAAGCTTCTTGGCTGAGTTATGGGGATGCAGAGAAGGCCTTAAGCTTGCTATTTCCCTTGGAGTGCAGCAACTAATTTTGGAAATGGATTCCTTATTGGCAGTCCAACAAATCCAATCCCGGAAGGTGTCTGCAGGTGCAGCATCAGTTCTTCTTAATGATATATGCTTGCTACTTGACTCCTTTAGCTCTTGCTTGGTGCAGCACACTCTAAGGGAAGGTAACTATGCTGCTGATTTTATGGCGTCTATTGGGCATACAATCGATTTGGGTACAACCTTCTTCCCAACACCCCCAACGGGTATTAGCATGATCCTGCAAAGTGATTGTACTGGGGCCATGTCCCTTAGATATTAAGCTCAAATAGCCTCTTATGTACCAAAAAAAAAAAAAAAATACTAATTCCCTTCATCAATTATTAAATAAAATATAATTGGATAGTGTTATATGAATAGTTTTTTTATATAATTTTTATATGTCATTAAATAAGTAGATGTATTTAATATTATGGATCTTACATAAATTAAAATAATCAATTATTTTAATGACATGTCAGATTATATAAAAAAATAAGATAAAAAAATTATACAAAAATCATTTCCCAATATGGTTAGCATGGAGTAAATTGCATATTACTTTTTTGGATTTCTATTGATAGAATTATTTTGTTGCGCTAAATTAGGCGGTTATAGGTTGCGATGATTTCCAAGATAGAGAACATATTTTGCAACAATTTTAAAGATTTGATTACCCTGTGATTCACATTTTAAAATTAAAGAAAGCTGTTTTTTAGTATCGGATTTGCAGGATTGGAAAATCCGCATCATTTGTTTTTTTATTTTTTATTTTTTTCATTTTTATGTTAATCCTCTTCGTTTTCTCAGGATAGATTTTTTTGTTTGAATTTAAAGTCTTGATTTTTATTCGAGTTTGAAGATTTTATTTTAGAATAAATTTACGATTAATACAACATCGGTAATTAAAACAATGTAATTAATTTGAAATCAAATTTGATTGTTGATTTCAATCAATTAATCTTAAAATTAAAATCAATTATGTAAAGAGATTAGTGCTTAT